TTTATTTATCCGATTGTTTATGTTTTGCAATCTTTGTGATGATGTTTGCAGATGAAAGAAAGAGGTGAGAAACTCGAGTATTGGAGGATGAGAGAGAAAACAGTTGAGGAAAAGAAGAAAGAGAGGAGTGAGCTTTTGCGTAGAAAGAGTTCATTGTGGGTCGATGAGTCCGAGCTGGAGAAGAAGATATTTGAGGCTGTGGTTGATGATATCCCGCTTGGGCGTGTACGACTGCAAAGGTGATTATCCTGAGCTTAATTCTTGGTTCTATTGATTCCAAGCTTGTGTGGAGTTGGATATATGTAGTTGTCATGTGATTGATTTTTCTCTATACACTTATGAGTTGGCAATCTCCTCTTCGGTTTTCTGTATTTGGGTTTATCTGTTTGCTGCTATAGCTAGAAAATAACAAGAGACTTTCAAAGCCTTGCATCTTTTCCTTATCTGTTAGGGCATTTGTTACATTATGTACCCTTTTTGTCATTTTTCTTGATATGGGTATTCTTGATTTTCATATTATGAGTACGATAATTTCAGGTTATGATTACATTGTTGCTACACAATGCAACTTCTTGTTGCTTTCACTCATAAGCAAATGCTCAAGCTCGAAGAATTTAGAATTAAATAAAAAAAACCCAAATTGCAAATCATATTGTTGGAGAAGGTCTTCATTTAGAATTAGTAAAACTATTTTTGAAATTTTTTAAGGTCACGAGGAGGTATTGTATTAAAATTTTAAAAAGTCTTATGACACATTTGATTTTATTTAATTTACTACGACTTTTGAAGACTTGTTTTAGATTTCAAACATAATACATACCAAATTCCACCAGGCCACCACAAACTCGCAAGTTGTTGATGCTGCTGTTGTTAATTTTTTTTATGAGATGAGGATCACACGCTTCCTCTCAATATTCTTTTTTATTCAACTATCATCAACCTTTAACAAAAATGCTTTGAACAAATGCTAATGAAGCAAGTTTTTTCCTTAAAGAAGTCTTTTACTTTATTTACATGCTTTTGCTTTTGCTCTGTTCTCTTAATAGCTTTATTATTTCATTTCCAATTATGGTAATACCTAGACTTGGGTAATTTTTTCAGTTTTTTTTTGTTCCTTGAGCAATTTTACATGGTTCGAATTTTTCAAAGCAACTATTATCCGACTGTCCCTATGGTTCAATCAGATAATCCTGAGTGGATCACTTTTTATATCATTCAAAATACAATGGCCCCATGTTTAATTGTCGAGAACTTTGAGATTTCCCTGGCATGTAGGGCGTTAAATTATTTCATATTCAATCATCTAGTTCAAAATCAAACTTAATTCAACTCAATTCTCATATTTTTTATAAATATAATTAAATAATGTCAATCAATCATTCTTACACGTCGAATCAATTTCAATAACTCTTCTTTTACTTTTATCACATCAACTCTAATAGTTTTTTAAATATTATTTAATTATAAACCCAAAATCATCCACTCAATTTAACTTATTTAAAATAACTCGTTTTAACTCAGTTTAATCAAACAAAATCGGTTGGATTCATATCGGGTCGCTCTCATAATGTAAATGTATTGGTTGGACCCGGGAAATGGGTGTCTGCAGGTTCTATAAACAAGTGTTTTGAATGCTTAGAATTCAAATTTGGGTCATCAAGTCAATTACACAAAAATTTTCCACAAGATGTAGATATCAATTTTAATTTAATATTGTACTATTTTATTACCCAAATGCATCATAAAAAAAGATCAATTTTATTTCACTAACACATAATAGTTTACACATTATTATTCTTTATAGCATAAGACCAATTTTTTTTTATCACAAAAAATATGACATTAGTACAACTATTAGATCCGATAAAGTGTTTTATTTCACAACCAATTTTTTTTTTCAATCACAAAATAAAACACTCGGGTCAGCTTATTATTAGATCCCGAAAAAGTGGCTGATAGTGAAAATCCAGTGGCCTTCGTCTCAACAGCATATTCGCAAGCAAATAGTAAGCACATATATCTATTGTATTACTGAATGCAAGGTTGCAAGGGGCTAGGAAAAAAAAGTTGCATTGTGGTAAATCAATCATCTTCTTCGCCATTGTATTTGTTTGTAATTCATAGTTGTGGAGTAGTACCAAAAATCATCTGGAACTTATCGTGCACGTAGTTTTAGGTTAAAATAAGCTGCTCATTTGTTTTGTGCCTCCTAATATGAACAAGCTATCATCCTATGAGAGCGTGCAGTGTATCAGGTTTCAATAAAGTTTAAAGATAGATAAATTTCGGTTGGCTTCATTCATTTGGAGGTGGCGATCCTATTATTTTCCGAGATCTATTTCGACTGTTCTTGTTTGCAACTGGCAAATTATAAGTTTTTTCGAACAATGTCGATAGGCAACTACAGATATGCAGCACATGAATAACCTATTCTCACTATACAAGAAGCAGCAACTTATAAGAGATGAACATCGATCAAGAACCCAAAACAATTCATGTAAAAAATACAATCTCTAAAGTTTCAGTATTATCAATCATGTAAGTCATCATCTCGACTGAACACACCGTACTCAAAACACTTGGAATATCGTGTATTCAACTCAAGACACAACACAAAAATCATAAATCCTTTTCGATGATCAAGAAACTAACCACTTAAGCAAACAAACAACAAAGCAACTTTTCAAACCGTCCATTTTTTACCTAAGAAGATGAGCCCTTTGAACTCCGAAAATCCTTCTTCAGCACAGTAACTCTCTTCATACAGTCCGATTTTGTTTTTCCGGGCACAGAGGCAGCAATCTTCTCCCACCTCATCACCACATCTTTAGGGAATGCCTTTAGTGCGTTGAGCAAAGCTAAATCCTCAGCTGAAGTCCATTCGCCGCCATTTTGAGTTCCGGCGAGATTTCCAATTCCCTCATCGAGAAAACGCTTGTCGACCGGCTTCCGAGCTTTCAGAAACTTCTCGTACGAATTCTGATCGCCGGACTTCCTCGAGCCTGTTTCTTTAGCTTTCACTATAACAGTCTCCACCTTGTGCTTCCCCTTGAAACCCTCGGCTATGGCCTCCCAACGGCCGGGCATGCCTACTGGGTGCTTCGCCATCAATTTCTTCAACAGCTCCTCATCAGTTTCGTCCCAATCGTTTTCTTCGTCCTCCTCGCCGGACTTATTTTCGTCGGGTTTTTGGGGACGAATTCGACTCTTTTCAGCAGGATCGACGCGGATCGGTGTCGATTTCTGCGGATCGGGATCGGGGGCGGTCTCCGGCGGGGCTTTCCGCTGGGATCTGGTGGATTTCCGGCTGATCGGCCTCTCGTCTGAATCGGAGGCGGATGGAGCGCCGTCGGGGATTTCCTCCAGAAGGGGGCCGAGGCCGACGCGGATGTCGCCGGCGGTGAGGCGGGGAGGGGCGAAGGGGCCGAGGAGGAGGGAGAGGGAGACCCACAGGAGGAGGGATTTGTAGGGCTCGAAGTTGAGGCGGAGGAGGAGGAGAGCGAAGGCGGCGGCGGAGACGGCGAGGGAGACCGCGAGGGTCGGCCGGTGGAGGGAGGCCAGGAATGAGGAGGGTGAAGGGGAGGAATTGAGGACGGTTTCGGGTCGGGTCGGGTGCTTGGATTGGAGGAGGAATCTGGGCCGGGTCTCGAATTCGTCCAAGAACTCCATTGTTGCTCTTCTTCGAGCTTCTGAAGCTAGAGAGAGAGGGAGAGACGGCGGCCAGTTTAAGAATCGCTGAAAGGGAAGTACGCTTTTTATTGCACATCTCCAAGCTCAACAGGTGGAGAGGAGTACTCACTTAGTCACTTCTATTGGTCAAAGGGTATTGTTGTCAATTTATTATTTAGATTGCAAGTTATCAGACATTAGAAACGAAAAAGGTACAGAAACACTGCTTGGGCATGGGAATAGAAAAAGTTATATTAGTCCATGGACTTTTAACTTCTTTAAATTTAAATCACATAATTAAGTCCATAAAATAATTGAATACTTAATATAATTGCAAAATAATTGAATACCTAATATACACTTTTAACTTATTTATAAATTTAAATCACATAATTAAGTCCATAAAATAATTGAATAGCTAATATAAGTAGTCATAAGAAAATAATATTTCCTAACTTGTGCATCTGGTGGCATACCGTCTGGAGACCATGTGAAGTGGATTACAGA